TAATTTTTTTGATATAGAGTATTTTGCTCATAAAATCTCATAAAATAAAGCGGTGGGGGGAAGGTTAAATTTGCTTTTATTAAAATAAGGATAACTCTGGTTTAGGTTACGCGATTTAAACAAACTAGGGCTCGTTTAAGTTTATTTAGAGCTTTTCTTCCTTAATGATCTCCAGTATAAAGTTTCCACAATTTTTTTCATTGTAGCTAGAGCGCGCTGTTTGACATCATAACAGATATTGCGCTTTTGCGTAAAAAATTAAATAGGAGGCTATATTTCTCTTTGCACGGTTAAGAGTAAGAGGGGGGGGGGGTAATCACTGCGACCTTAAAGATCTACACGGTTAAATAGAGCACAAAATTTCCTAAATATTAGCGCAAACCGCAAGTTTCTATCTTCTCTCTAACCGGAGATATTAAGAGAACAAATTATGATAGGCTGCCGTTTAGATTATATGGTCTAAAATTACAGTAGTAGGTTAGGAAACCAAAAGAGATAAATTGGTTACTTCAAAATATCAAAACATATATTTTAATTTCATTTTAATACCATTTAATTATTATTTATCCATGTTCGTTCTTGATTCGACCCCATAAATTAAAACCAAGGCATATTGAATCCGATGACCCAGCTGGCCATGGAAATATGCTGCTCCAGCGTCTCTATCTACTAAAGTAAATGGCATCCAAGAAGTCCCACATTTATAGCAAAATAAGCGGCACCACTGCCTCAACTATATACACCAACTTTATACACCAACATCCTTATTTTAATAAAAGCAAATTTAACCTTCCCCCACCACTTTATTTTATGAGATAGAGCAAAATACTTTGTATCAAAAAAAAATACAAATTTCTCGATGATTACAATAGTAAAATTTAAAATACCTGTTCACCTGCATATTTTTGAGAAAAACCCTGTTTCCTGATTGGCTCTTAGAGAAACGCCCCCTAGCGGGCATTTTTCGAACTTGAAAATAATTTCCAGCGATTTCTATTGGTCGATTTACTTATTAGAATTGTTTTCCCAAAGTTATACGCAAAGTTACGCGGTACAATTTTACGTGGAACACAATATCTGCCAAATAGCCACCACGACTTCTGTGGCAGCACACAATTCTTTTGTGGAAATTTTCCATTACTACTGAACATTATGTCATTGTTGCTTACTTATGCTTTGTCGCCTCTCTAATTTTTGGTTGTCGCTGTTAACTGAGTTTACAATTCGTCTCCATTGCATTCTATTGTGCGCTGCTTCTTCCCACTCATTCTGTATGTTAATTCCGTTTAAGTTTTCGTGGAAAATATCCTTGTACCTCTTGAGTTGTCCAACCGGTTTCTTTTTACCGTCTACAAACTTCTTGCATTCTGCATATAAGCCCATCTTAAGCGGGATTTTGTAATCATTACTTCAATGCTCTCGCAGCTAACTTTTTCAAGGACCGAAAGCTTTGAGACATGGTGAAACCATTTGATTCTTAAAAGTTGTCCAATGTGTCTCTGTTGCAACTTGTTTAATACGTTCATGTGTCGGCGGTACGGCACCCAGGTTTCGCTTCCATATAACATAATTGTGGGGAATATTATTACTCGGTACACTGAAAGTATCGTTTTTGTGCTCAAGTTATGATTGTAGAAATTTCTGGCTTAATTTCCAGAATGCTCTTGAGGCGCTGCTAATCCGGTGCTGAATTTCAGAGTCGATATTGGCTTTTTCCGAAATCAAACTGCCGCGCCGAGGTAATTAAATTCCGCTACATATTCCAATATAGTTCAGTCATTGGGGATTTTTGCTTGGAAAAAAGTCCGGAAGTTTTTAAATTTTGCAGGTTTATAGGTTTTGGGGTCCCTAACTAAAATCCATAAAATGCACATTTCCAGACTTGCCGCCGGCGCCGCCATCTTGCCAAGATGGCGCCCAAAATCGGTATTTTATAAATATCTCGAAAACTATGCGTTTTTCGCAAAAATTTTAGGAGAGCAAAATTAAAAAGAATATCATTTCCAATAAATAAGAAAGGTTCTATGAAAATTTTCGCTAAAGTCAACCGTTTAGGCACAAAATCTCTGGAAATTTTTCAATTTTGCGTAAAATATGATACCTATATGTATAGTCGATTTTCCGAAATCAAATGTCGATTAGGGTTCACTAAACTAGTTTTAGTTTAGTTTCTTCAATTTTGTCATGAAACAGTGGCGTATCATTAATTCGATAATTAATTTATGAATAATTAATTTTAATTATTGAAATTGTGTACTTGTTTCCACACCATCCAAGAAGTAGGGGAAGCCCGGGCAAAGTGAACACCCCGGGCAAAGCGAATATCCCCCACTATTCCCAAACTATTCGTTTGGCATCAATCACGTGACATAGCAACGCTCGTCTGTCTTTGCTCAATAGACAGTCGCGGCAAACACCTAAGTGGGAGAGCAGGCCATGCGGCGTCCGCAGAACGGCAAACTGTGTTTTCGAAAAATAATTTCTAATATTTCGAAGTAAGTATTTTGATGATATTTTCTATATTATTTGTTTATTACTATTGGGCGTATTACAGTTCTATTACGTGTCAAAGAGCTTTATTATAATATGTCGAACGGAGAATTGAAATCAATAGTTTTCTTATGAATTGACTTAACCTTAAAAATGGTTGTGCTGGGCAAAGTGAATAGGGCAAAGCGGATATGGTATCCACTTTGCCCGGTTTTTACGATTATTTAGTTTCGGTATTACAAAGCTCATATTTTGTTGCAGATGGTGCATAAATATAAAAAAAAGACTAATCAAGGCTCTTGGGATAAAGATGTTATGCGGACGGCTATACATTTATGCAAAGCCGGAGAATCGGTGAAGGGCACAGCTAAGAAATATGGTATGGCTTATGTGACTTTGTACAGACACGTCAAAAGTGGTAACGTTACTCCAAAACTCGGTAGATTCCGCCCAGTTTTCAGCGAAGTTCAGGAAATAGAGTTAAGGACCTATCTCAAAGACATGGATTCCGTGTTTTTTGGATTAACTCGAGATGAGTTTAAGAATTTAACATATACCTACGCCAAAAAAAATAATTTGAATTATCCAACTAATAGTTCTTCTCCGATTTTTATAGCATTGTTGTGATCTACCAGGGGTGTACACATGATTTTAGTTTAATCGATGTTCAGCTTAAGGCCCAAAGCCTTGATGCCCTCTAGCGGACAAAAGAAGCACTTTTGTATAGAGATAAACTGTGCCCAATGTAATGAATGCTGTCCAGCACGACAATTATTTATTCATAAATTAATGAGCGAATTAATGATACGCCACTGTTTCATGACAAAATTGAAGAAACTAAACTAAAACTAGTTTTAGTGAACCCTAATCGACATTTGATTTCGGAAAATCGACTATACATATATATCATACTTTACGCAAAATTGTAAAATTTCCAGGGATTTTGTGCCTAAACGGTTAACTTTGGCGAAAATTTTCATAGAACCTTTTCTATAGAAAATTTTTTTCTCTTTAATTTTGCTCTCTTCAAATTTTTGCGAAAAACGTATAGTTTTCGAGATACTTACAAAATACCAATTCTGGGCGCCATCTTGGCAAGATGGCGGCGCCGGCGGCAAGTCTGGAAATGTGCATTTTATGGATTTTAGTTAGGGACCCCAAAACCTATAAACCTGCAAAGTTTCAAAACTTCGGGACATTTTTCCAAGCAGGCTCCTTTTTTGATCCCCAATGACTGAACTAATAGTTCTTTCTATTGTCTGATTCCCTTACTTCTCGACTTGACTAAAAGATGGCGCCTGAAAAAGTCTTTTAATTTCTGGCGGATACGTTGCGGTTGTGCAGGCAACCAGTAATACATTTTTAATTTCTGGCGGATAGGCCATTTTTCTTGACAATACCAATGGTATCTTTCATCCCTCACTTTCATCCCCCACAATGAATTCCGCGAGAAATGTTCAAAAACGGCCACATCTGTCCATAACAGAAGACGGTCGATATGTCAAACACCTGTAGCAAAATCTCACGTCTTGGTTTGCTATTTATTTTTATTGATATTAGTAGTGGAGTGATTTAAGCCCTTATGGGATACAAACCTCGGGATTCATTGACTGTGAACGAATTTTTATAAAACTTTTTGCATTGTAGATATATTACAAAGTTTACCCATTTAAATTCGTTGCTTTCACTTTAGTATTTAAATAAACACACATATACAAATGCATACATATACAAGATGGCTCCGTATTCCGGAAAAGTTCTGTATCAGGATTTTTATTTGAGATTTTCACTCCAAACCTTTTACAAAATTTATGTTTAATGGTAGTTCACATTTCAAAAATATTTTTATAGATATACAGGGTGAGTCAAATATATATCATTTATTTATTCGAGTTCAGTGAATTTGCCATAAAATTCCGGTTGTTTTCCCATTCTGCTAATGTTGCATCAATAAGCTGTGCGAGATTTCCTGGATTGTTTCAACGAGCTCTAACCCTTCTTTTGAGCTAGTCCCATAAGTGTTCGATAGGGTTTAGATCTGGTAAGTAGGCAGGCCAGTCCAAAACTATGACACCTTCCGTTTCAAGACATTCTCTAGTGACTCTGTTGATTTGGGGAGGTGCACTGTCGTGCACGAAGTTAAAATTATCCATAGCAATTATTTTTCATAGCAAAAATGTTACAGCGATTTGTTAAAAATGCACATTTTTGAAAAATACCCCGTAACTCTGAAACGGTAACAGATATCGATATGTGGTTTTCACCATCATGTTTTCGACAAAAACTTAGCTCCCCGGACACCGATATTATTTTTCGTCTATCTCGTAGAGAAAAGGGTGTTTCCCTTTAAAAGCGTCCAATTGGACCCGCTCTGTACTGATTTTCTCCTGGGATTACATACAAATTTGATTTTATATTATGTCGACATCTCAATAACTATAAAGTGTCATTTAATACAAATGGCACCCGATTACAATAATTTATTTTGTTGTGTGCTTGTATGTAAGATGACATATTTTAGGAGGATGGAAATCTGGATATCAAACACACGGTGCCCCACCGGCATATCCTCACCACAATGCTGCACCACCAGCTTACAATGGACAACCATCATGGGGAGCCCCTCCAGCATATCCCGGCCACGGTAAGACTTTCATAGATTACTTTGATAATCAATTTTTATAAACCACATTAAAATGTAGTAAAGTCTGTCCAATGCAATGAGAGAATAGGTTGAGGATACTGACAGTGGCAGTTCTGTGTCATTTTAACTCACAGTAATTAAATTGTATTTTCTCTCATTTTTTTAATTTAATCTGTCGAAATCTTTCCTGACTCGTTGACATACTTTAGTCGTTTGTCCTAACATTCTTTAGATATACACAGGGTGCTACAAATTCGGGGTACGAGCATGGGTATCTTGGTAACTGTAATAGATAGGAGCATGGTTAAATTGGGGCAAAGTTGCGCTTTGGGATGTTCACCAAGACGCCATCAAGAAAGTTTTAAAAATTCCAAGAATTGCGGAGTTTTTTGGGAAAAAACGGATTTTTTGGAAAATCAATTTTATTTTTTCCTGGCGGTACTTTTTCTGATAGTATTTTTGGATTTTCAAATTAGCGGATCATTTGTGAGATACAGAGACTAACATAATTTTTTTAAATACATACCTGCATTTTTATTTCATGTTTTGAAAGAACTCTGTCTCCTGAGTACAATGATATGCCATATTTTATACTTTCTTTTTGTTTTGGGTATCTTGACAACAACAAACTATTTAATAATTATTATATTATTTAAAATAATTTCAAATCCGACTCTGTTTTTTTAATTATTTAATCAAAGATTTAATCTAATTATATTCATAGCAACAATATTGATCGGCGCTAATTAACTTTGAATAAAAAAATAGGGCCAATGAATCTTCCATTCAAATAAATAATATCCAGGTCAGCAATTTAAAGATATTATTTTTAACTTTTTTATTGCGAATTTGAAATCTCAGTTTACGATCTAATAATATGCGTAATATTAATCATAGTCACTAGTTATTATAATTAAACCAACTTCTACAAAATAGTTTCTAATAATCTACCTGTTCGAAAGGGTAATCACCAAAGACATTATAAAGATAGACCGAACATCTCATTCATAAATACTCGTTGGTAGTGTATCAAACATTCCAATGTGTCAAACAAGGACAGAAGAGACAGAGAAGTCTAAAATTTCCGACCCCTGCAACTAGGCGCATTTGGATTGTTCTAATGGCCAGTGGCGTATCGTTTTTTGGAACGAATTTAATTAGTAAAGTAAAAGTAAAGTAATTAGTAAAATTTTTACTCCATATTAATATACTACATTAACACTTTTTCGTTAGATGAGTTTTGTTATAAGGTCTAATATAATAATATAATTAATATCCCACATATACTTATGTTGAAACGTTAGTGGATAGTTTTCGAAAATCGCTCCAACGTCGATATTCAATTTAAACTTTCAGTTACTTCTATATAAACACTGAGTTACTTTTGAATACTTACAGGGTGACTCAGGCTTCCGAAACAGTTCTATATTAGGTTTGTGGTTAGTGACTTTTCTTTCAATTTTTTTTTAGAATATGGAGGCAATGGTAAAGCACGTTTTAGACATTTTTGTAAACATAGGTGGCCGGAACATATTTTCAAACTAAAGTTGTAGATTTGCCATTAAATTTCCATTCCAGAAATACCTAGGGTTGCCACCTGTCCTTTTTTGAAAAGGACAGTCCTTTTTTGGAATAACGTGTCCTTTTGAATTTTTTTGACTTAAAGAGTCATTTTTTTTTACGTATTTTCCCTGAGAGAAGAAGATAACTTAGAACTTCCCGTTTAATCTCTGAGAAAATTACCTACAGCAAACAGAAATATTCTTTTCGTCCAAATTTAATTAGAGATGTTATAAAACTTATAAGTAAATTTTTCGTGTTTAGAGTAGTGTTTAGAATAGGCAACATTATTCGAATATGATTAGAATTTCCCGTTTAATCTCAAATGATAGTTTAGGTTTTAGTTTTACCTTTTTTGATCTTAAAAAGAACTTTTCAAAATTAGTAATTAGTAACGATTTAGTTAGTTCGCAATCGATAGCTTCCTGTGAAGTACTGTGTAATAGTTGTTTAATCTTGTATTATTAATAACTTCCTATACCTAAAATCAATATTTATTTTAATCCTTTTAGTCTCTCAATAGAAGGCATTTATCATTAAAAGTATCAAATCTGTGTGCTACAGTATGGGATTTCTGTCGCATAATAATGAATATTACGTTTATTTACAAATCCATTACTTAGGTAGCTTAATCAGACAATCAAATTTTAGTTAAACGTCCCAATCTTCATGGTAACTGTATTAAGCATATGTATTGAATCACCCTGTATGTTGACAAAATATTTTGAAAATGTGCGTTACAATGGCCCCGATCTTATGTAAAGATTGAAATAAAAATCACAAACCAAAAACGTAATAGGTAAAAAGCTTTTTTGGAGGCCTGGGTCACTCTGTATATAGGTATGTATAAAACTAGTAGCCTAAGAATTATTTATAGTTCGTCCCATTCTAAAAAAAGGTAAACACACCGTACAAATAACTCTAGGAAGAGGTATTTGTATTGTACGGTGGTAAAAACTTGACTAAACAAGACCGAAGGGGCAGATACAAGATATAATTAAGCAATAAAATGTAAAAAAGGTCGGATAAACACCTTTGTTTATTTGTTGAGCAAAATTCCTTTAGAATATCGTATATAATGACCAAAATATGACGCAATTTAAAAAAAATGTCACTTTCTGGCATATAATAAGGTTTCAAATGCAACGTTTATATTCAAATTTGTTATGATCTACAACAGTTAGGTAGTAATTGAGACGAATTATAATTCAATTACCGGCTACTACGTTCTTGTTTTATTAGATCAAAATTCAACAAATATAATTAGAAATTATTTTAATTTTGAGAGGCTCCCTTGTAGGACGCCTATGTACGATTACGGCGGAAACAATACCTACCTGTGAAAAGACAAATTCGGGTAATTTGAGCCTATTTTTCCACACATTTGACACTGTCCTACCATATGAAAATTCGCAGATTCAAAAGTAGGTTAAACAAAAACAAAAACTACTGAAAACCACTGAAAAGTTCACTTCGGCCTTGATTCCGACTTCAAACACACCGTAAGCTAAACGTAGTACGCTATAACGGACCAAGGGCCGTCGCGAGGGGTGGTGGGACGGACGGCTCATTTCATTCTGGAAGACTAGCAGCGACGTTGCCAATAGTTCTAGACGTTTCAGCACATTAAACAGTAAACGTGTCCTTTAATAGTAACGCATAGATCCTCAGGTTAATAACCATATTATTACGCATGCTTCTTTAAAGATAAACTATTAATTTAATTAAGAAATTGAGATTTATTGATATCCGGTGAGGTTTTAAAGCCACCTTTTCTGCAAATCAAACTAAGTAGATAGGCGCAAATTTGAGATGTGGCAATGTCGCCTTCTCTATCTCAGTTGGTTTTTACAGTACGTAGTCAACCTTCGGTTGTTTGATCGGGTTAAAATGCACAATGTGATATCTGTTCTTGCTAAATCTATGGTAATCACCCTCCCTATTGCACAAATTTATTTTTCGTTCAATTTTATTTATAGCTATTTGAACTTTCGTCTTATACTTCTGAATGCATTTTGTACTCTTTTTTGTAAATGTTGAGATGTATTGATTTCACTTTTACATATGACATCAAGTAATGTCCCCCCGCCCCTTGGCGACAGGTCCAGGAACCTCGCTGGTCATTATACTGCTCTACCATTTCCAATCCATCTTGATTGTTTATATTATATTATCTTCATATTATTTATTTTATATTATTTTTTATTATTTTATACATATGATTTTCCGTATTCAATGTTTTGCGCCATGTTATTGTTAAGTTTGGAAGCTTTTCAATATTGTAAGGTGTAAACTCGGCAATCCTAGAAATTTTTAAAACTTTTTTGATGGTATCTTGGTGAACATCCCAAAGCGGCATCTTTGTCCCAATTTAACCATTTTCGTATCTATTACGGTGACCGATATACCAATGCTCGAATTTGTAGCACCCTGTATAGTCAGGGCTATAATATTTTTTCACTTTTTTCAGCTCCAGGTTACAGTGGTTTCGGACAAAACTACCACCATCAATCTGGTTATGGCGGCCATGGCGGTTATGGCAATTATCCGCATCAATCCGTCGGCGGATATAATCCAGGATACGGCGGTATGACCATGGGAGGCATGGGAATGGGCGGTATGGGCGGCGGATACGGTCACCATGGTTATAGCTCAATAAAAGTTTGGTGACATTAAAAACCTATAAAATCTTATTTCTAGGAGGATTCGGAGGAGGTGGTTTTGGAGGAGGTGGTTTCGGAGGAGGTGGTTTCGGAGGCGGTGGCTATTATCCGATGAAACAAAAAAGCAGCTTCTTCAGTGGAAGAACTATTGGTAGCGTTGTAGCTGGAATGTTTATTTACAGGTATTTTAATATACAGTATATCTCCGGATTGTCTTTAAAAGAAGAAAATCTTTTTTATTATTGACATTTTGAAAGAAATGTATTCTTGCAAAATATGCCATCAAGACTGTCTCCACAGCAATATTCTTAGCATTTCTTTCGGCACACCATTTTCCGTATACTTTCAATGCTATTTCATATCGCCCTCTACTTTTCTCTGGAAGTAAAGCAGCTTCTCTAAGTTCTGGTGGAGTACCACTATTAAAGTAGTCTTCATTATCAGAACTTTCCGACAACATTCTGGCTTTGTATGTTATATAAATTCGAAAAAGCGAACGACAAATTCGAAGCTGTCACTTAGTTGTTTGTTTTGCTGTTGAAGGTTTGCGCCATAACAACCATTGGTACCCGTAACCAGGGGGGTGATAGTGAAATAGGAAAATTGGAAACATGGTCATTAGTGTCATTCTTGTCGTTCTCCTCATGACAAGTATGGCCGCCTAGACAAGGACAGCATTGTTTTTGTCTAACTATTGTCTAACTTCACAGTTTAGAATTGACAGATTTCAGTTTCAGACACAACTTCAGATTTGTTCCAGAACAAATTAGAAAATATTCGACGCCATTTTAATTCATTCCGTTTAGTTTCGTTTTGGAAGTTCAATTTAATATTTCGGCTGAAATTTATAAATATAAAGGTAATAAAGTATATAAAATATATATTACATGAAGAATCCTGGAGAAAATGACGTTTCTGCAGTAGTAGGTATGTCCCATGTATATGAAAAATAGGTAGTAAATAAACACTGTTTTTACATTTTTTAGATTCAAGAAAATGGTGTTATAATCTCTTTGATCGGCGATTTTTTTGAAAATAGAAACAATGTACAGCAAGGTAAGATCATTTTTAACTATAGCCAACATTAGTTATCTCCAGTATGTGCGATTTATTGTCAGTAATGCAATAAAGCTGACTGATAATCTGATTGTTATCCGACTAAAAGTCTCTTTTTGCTTCTTTTTGATTTATAAGCCAGGTCTCTTTGGGAATAATGGACGCTTTTTTTAAACAGTATATTTATATTTTGTACCTATTGATATTTTTACATTGTTAATTTTAGTATAAAAAAATTTGTTTTTCTGTTTTCAGGTTTTTGTATAAGGCTCCCGTTTTCATGTTCCTGTGTCCATTTTCTGTCCTTGAAGTCTGCGAATACGTGTGTTTATTTACAAATTACTGTAAGTCATGCTTATACCTTAACTAATTTACGTTAAAAGTGCATATAATTAACTAATTGGTATTGAAACAATACAATCCTCTATATTTTTATATTTATTTATTCACGTTGTTCCATATTTCAAATAAATATATGTGAATAAATTATTTTTTGGTTTTATTTATGAAAAGAAAAAATACAAAATACATTTGAACTGAAAGAGGGCCCGCCATTGAATAACCGGAAACGGAAATGAAAATTAAGCCATCATGTCCCTATCATGTCAACCTGTCAATTGGAAAATTAGTTCTCCAGACGACAACGAAGGCTTTCGGTGGCGTATCGTGTTTCCACAAAGTGTTTCCACGATTTAACACAGAAAAGAAAAAATACAAAATACATTTGAACTGAAAGAGGGCCCGCCATTGAATAACCGGAAACGGAAATGAAAATTAAGCCATCATGTCCCTATCATGTCAACCTGTCAATTGGAAAATTAGTTCTCCAGACGACAACGAAGGCTTTCGGTGGCGTATCGTGTTTCCACAAAGTGTTTCCACGATTTAACACAGAGTTGACACTTCTTTCTAGTTAATTATTTTATGCCGGTAACTATAGATATGGAAATGCCAAAACAGAAAACGACAAATTGTTTAATGATGTGGTTGTAAATAATAGTTATTTACAGTACAAGTGTGTTTATGAACATGATTACAACAACGAGTGTGAACGATTAGAACGACGAGGTCGTAAACCGAGTCGTTCTAATCACACGAGTGTTGTAATCATGTTTAAACGCACGTGTCATGTACAACGTTTTATCTACAACCGAAAAATAAGAAAATGCTGTTTTAATTTTCGTTTATTAGTCGCCCACCTTTAACACCTTTAACTATGACATTTGTCACATTTTTTTAGTTATAATTGTGGGGAATTCTTATCTGCTTCAGACTATATAGTTACAAACGTTGTTTATCAAGTAGAGAGTTTTTTTTCTGAAAAGTCATCAGTTTGCACTGTCAAGTAAACGCGAGCACTTTTTGCCCAGAAAAATCATTTTAAAAATTACGATGAGCGATTCCAAAAGTCTCCCTTCAGATGTAGAAGTTGCCGCAGTACGTGCCACGGAATCATTATTGTCGGAAAAGTCGCGATAAAAATATGAAAAAACATACAACCAGTTATAGTGTTTTTTTTATTATTTCTAGATGTTTACGCATTTTTTCACTTGTCACAAAGTTGAACGATCAGGTTAGGTAGAGTGTACTTTCTTTTTGAAAGGTGTATTTAATCGGCACAACTGCCGGTATTGGGCTGAGGACAACCCCAGGGTTTTTCATGAGGTGCACACACAAAAACCTAAGAAATTAAACGTGTGGGCTGGTATTTTTATGAATTCTATTGTGAGTCCTTTTTTTCTTCCTGAAAATCTAACAGGTGATATTGTACTTGGGTTTACTGGAAAATACCATCGACCCAGCCCTAACTGACATCATAGAGAACAATCCTGGATACGTTGAAGCGGAACTAATATTTCAACAAGACGGTGCACATTACTCTCAAAATGTGTGTAATTATTTAAACAATAACTTTCCCATTCGGTGGATAGGACGAAGGGGTGCAATTGAGTGGCCTCCCCGGTCATCCGACTTGACTCTATGGGGACACATAAAAAGTAAAGTGTATAGCACTCCACCCGCCTCATTAGAAGACCTGCGAAGACGAATTATTGATGTTTGTTGCGAAGTGACCCCGCAAGTTCTTCAGAATGTTCTAGAACGGGTTGAAAATAATTTGTATTACTGTATGGAGGTTGACGGGCAACATTTTCAGCATTTTCTTCATTAATAAGATAAGATTTTTTAAATTATATTTTCTTTATATTATATTTTTGTTATATTATTCAATTTATGCGTTTTTTGTAAAAAAGTACTTTTCAAATTTCAGTCTTTCATATTTTCAAAATGACTCGACCGATTTTCAAAAACGAGGCGGGGAAATATAGAGAATAGAAAGCCCTTTTCATTGCGACGCCACTTAACCCCTTTCCCATTTGAAAAAACTTGGGGGATGACACCCCCGCTTAGAGGGTTGAAGATTTTGCAATCATTTTTGGGGCAAAAGTTGTCCCCCTCACAAACAAAATTGACGTGTTTTTGGATTTTTCGAAAAAAAAATACCCTGGCTGTTATGCCTTGAGGAACGCTTTCGATGGGCCACCCTGTATGTAATGTTTAATGCATTACTGAAAAACAACATCGATGATACGTTTTCTGACACTGTTTTTTAGTAATATGTGACAAATCGAAGCTGGCAAATATCAGCTGGTAAACAAATATTACGCCACCTATATCAATCGACATTATTTAATTAATTTCAACGTTACATAAGATAGTTTACGAATATTATGTTTGTTTTTCCGCAGCATGGCGTCCAATCTCATTAGTCACGGGCTGGGTTTCAAGCGGCCATATACAGTAGTGAACTATTACAACCAGGAGCCGGACAAAAAGGTCGAAGAAATCAAATTGCCGGCAAACGTTCTGGTACTGTGCGAAGGAAACGCGACGCAACTATGCGGAAGAGGCACGCAATCGGTAAGACATTATGTCAATACACTCTTAAATGATTTTTCTTGACAACTTGTTTATCACAATCGATAAGTGTGTACGTTTTTATTGATTGCAGAACAAAACGGTCTTCATACTTATCGCATTAATAGTGATATTACCAACTCCATTAAAAACAAATTTAACTCTATACATACTTCTAAAAACTTATTCTTCTAATTTTTTAAAAGTATACAGGATGCTACAAATTCGGGGTACGAGCATTGGTATCTCGGAAACCGTAATAGATACGAAGATGGGATGTTCACCGAGTTGCTATCAAAAAAGTTTTAAAAATCTCTAGGATTGCCGAGTTTTTTGGAAAAAACGGATTTCTCTGAAAATCAATTTTATTTTTTCCTGTCGTTACTTTTTAGAAAATCAAAAAACTAATTGCACATTCTCATAGCCACTTTATTAGGGCTATCTGATAGTATTTTTAGATTCTCAAATTAGCTGATAATTTGTGAGATACAGAAACGAAATAAAAAATACGGATCTGCATTTTTTATTTCATATTTTGAAAAAACTCGGTCTCCTGAGTAGAATGATATGCCACACCATAGAGAAACAAATAAAAAGAGACTGGCAAATTAAATGGCAAAGAGAGGGACAACGTTCCCGTAGCGCAACTCAGAACGCAAGATTTGCTTCAATTTATGTTGATCTGCGCATTGCGTCTATTGGGCCCACTATCTCTTTCTAATATAACAAGAGAGAAAGAATCAGCCATATAAAACGTAACGTTTCTAAATAGAAATTAGAACAATCGCCTTTCGTCGTCATGACAACCAAGTTGACAACCATATCAGAGACCATTTGACAACATCATGACAATTCCTCAAGTTTATGTATATTAATTTTTCTTTTGGTAATTTACCTTTTTTTCTAAACTCTCCATTTTATTGACTTATGGATATGGATAGGGGACAAATTCTATATTTATATTTTGTTACTTATAATTTTAAGTTATACTATTTGTTATTTTATTTGCTGCAGGAGCCATATACAGTATAATCTATATTTTATATGTATTGGTACCCTCTTTCTCTGATAGATATGTTAAAGAATCCCGGTAAAATAAAAGTAAGTATGTTATATTTATCAACCTATTAAAAAAAGTAGAAGTAGTAGTGCCAAAAATATTTCGAACCTCTCTTAACATAACAAATTAATACATTTCATTTTTTTCATTTTTTGGGTATTTTATAGCTGGTTTATAGTAACCAGATAGAAACTTAATTAATATACCAATTTTACTTTTGTTTTAGGATTAAAACTGGACTTGAAAATGGTTCAGGGTCATGATTCTCCTAAAGTCTTCTTTGCTTCGATATTCACTTTGTTATTGCATTTAGGCAGTTGCTAAAAATGCTTATTTTCCTTTTGTTTTAGGATTATTTATTTTCATGTATAAATAAATATGTTTATAAAACAGTACAATTTTTGCTTTTTTATAATTTCCCTTATAATTCTGGTATTCTTTCGTTCTGAACGAACTGAAAATTTTCACTTAAACTGATTTATTCACTAGACCACGTAAAGGGAATAAATCAGTTTAAACGAAAATTTTTAGTTCGTTTAGAACTAAAGAATACTACTAATGCTAAAATCTGGCTAGTTTAAATTTCCCGCCAGCCAAAATATACGATAATGTCTTACGGGACGTTTTATACTTACCTATTTCTTTTTCACATTAAGCACACATAAAAAAGTAAGACAGCAATAAAAACGTACGTCCTGTCATGGTCCTGCCAATTGGTTTCAAAATTGTTATTCTGAGTTGCGCTACGGGAACGCGGTGTCCCACTCTTTACCATGGGATTTGCCAGTCTCTCTTTATGCCACACTTAATACTTTTTTTTTGTTTTGGTTACCTTAACAACAACAAAACTATTTAATTATTATTTAAAATAATTTCAAGTCCGACTCTGGTTTTTTAAATTATTTAATCTGATTATATTCATCGCAACAATATTGAGAGATCAGCTCTAATATTCAGATAAGATCAGACATCTCTGACTGCACCAAAAATATTCAGATTCAAAAGGATCTTTTATGCCAAAATTGTTTTAATCGCGACAAACCCCAAAAAATTTAAACTAGATTGAACTTACTACATATTATTTTTCTTTCAGGTTTGCACTCAAAACGGAACAGTAATGTGCGTTGCTACAATGAACGAAGCCTCCCCCTGTGACCAAAATGGAAATAAGGCTCTCTGCGTTAACACCACATTACCGTGCGCCGACGCAAACGACCCGCTCTGTCAAAATTCCACACACAAAGAAAAACTAGAAGCGGACGTTAGTGTTCCTTGCTTCACAAATCTTACACTGGACGTAAATCTAGTAGACCAAAGTCAAACACTACCTAACACCAAGTACACCTACTGCATAACTACAATGGCAATTGCCGGACCTGACTACCAAACGTGTAAAGATCTGACGAATTCCAACGATTACAGAAGCGTATTAAATGGAAACCACGAGTGGTACTTGGAATTTGAAGGGTTCCGAAGAAACTACTCCGTGTATAATTCGGAGAAACCAATGGAAAGTAATGGAGAAATAAACATGCCCCTAACTGTACTGATAAAGTGCCACGAGAATGTAACGAAAATATGTGCTCCTGGTACAATCCCAACCTGTACAAGTTTCAACGAAGTGATGTGTCTAGTCCCTACAGAAAACCTCGAAGAATGTCCAGAATATGAAAAAGGGTGCTTGAACAGTACAATTCCGTGTCCAAATGACTCCGAAGATGTCTTCTGTAAAAACAAAACAGAAGGAGCAGATACAGTAACTCTACCTTTACAATGTTTTTCTAACATCACTATAAACGCTCCCATTCCTAAATTTAATTTGGGTGAATTTAACGGGACTTTACCTGATCTAAGTGCCACCTCCAGTTACACGTACCACTTTAATTATTGTGTGATTACGTTAGCTCTTCCTGGTTCGGACTTTGATTTGTGTATAACAAAGGAAGCCAAGGAGAAACAAGAAAAGGATAAAGGAAAATCTTGAGTATAATATACTCTAACAAAACAATGTAGATATAGATTTATGTTATTTAAATTGTAAATCATCTATTACATGTTATGTATATGTTAAAATATAATATTTAAACCTAAGTTTAAACATATTTTACCTACTTACTGTATTACAGTATTCGGCTATTCTTCTTCTTATCACGCCCTCTCCTGCCGAAGGTTGGCGATCCAAATGGCAATTGTGGCTCTGGAAACTGCAGCCCGGAAGATTTCCGCAGACGAGCGTTCAAACCATCTCCTCAATCTTTTAGCCATGAGTTCTGGCGTCTTCCTACTGATCTTTTCCCTTGCACTTTGTCCTCTATTATGAGGCGCAGTATTTCGTATCTACCACCTCTCATCACATGACCCAGGTATTGCATTTTTCTTTCCTTGATGGTGTTCAGTATCTCTTTTTGTTTCTGCATGCGCTAGAGTACTTCATTGTTGGTGATCCTTTGTACCCATGAGATTCGCAGCATCCGTCTGTATATATACATTTCGAAGGCTTCTATTCTCTTCTCGGTCTGTGAATCCAGTGTCCAGCTCTCACATCCATAGAGTAACACAGAGAAGACGTAGCATCTGGCCATTCGAGTTCTGAGATCCGCACTGAGGTCTCTTCTTGTAAAAAATGATTTCATTCTCGGCTATTGCCAGACCTTAATACTATACCTGCTTGGACTTAATCACATCCAAAGATAAAGGACGAAAAGTGGGCCTATTTAAGGGAGTCAGGAGCGTCATCAATGACGTGACTGCATAGTAACTAGTGATGTGTCGGTATTGAGTAACGCGATTTTGGAGCGGTATTGTTTTGTAACGTCGTGTCGCGCTCCACAACGAGTCAGGAACCAGTTACTGAGGAACGACGACCATAATAACGACAAAACTATAAATTATTTATAATTTGCAAATAAGTTATTTATAATCGCTCTTGAAGTTAGCTCGAACCGCATAGCGCCGTGTTTCTGCCAGTAGGAAATAATATATGTGTGTTTAGTTAATAAAGGGTTTAAAAAAACGACCGATATATTAAATAATATATATTTATACATACAAAGTACAGTAAAAAGTAAACAGTACGTACAAAAATATAAAAACAATATTTTAGCATCACAGAAAGGGATAAAAAAGACATGGCACCGTAAAATACTCTATAAAACTATCAGACTGAAAAATAAAAATTTAAAAGAGAGATAATTGATATATACGACTGCTTATTCCATTAAAACTGTAAAAGATATTAATCTGAATAATTTTAAATATATTTTTAAAGTAAAAATTTTAATTAACTAAATATAATTTTAAAAGCAATATTAATACGAAGATGATTCCTTTTTTAAATTTTCTTTACATGCAGTACGACATAAAATTTGGAAACATTAACATCTTTGGTTTAGTTAGGTACTATGTATACATTAAAACAAGCGTCTAGGTATACTCCAACGATACATGCCGGAAAGCTTTGCGCTTGCGTAATACAAGCGAATGGCATTAGCCATAATCTTACTTTAATGCTTTTGCGGACGAACTAAGTAATGCCATTTGCGTCTAGTCGTACCGTGCACCTCTTCAACCTCAACCCACAGTTCCGGCGCATGCGTATTGGAACAGCAGAAGAAAGTAATGCTTCAATATAGTCTGGTTTCGAAAGCAGCGTGTAGCTCCGTGGTTGAGGCTGCCGCTTTGGGAGCAACGGGACGGATAGATTAGAGCTGTAGAGGTAGTATTTAGAGCTGTCGGTAACAGCGATCAAAATACGCCGTAGGGGTATTTTGTTTGCGTTGGTTAGGCGTATTTTGATTGCGTTGGTTGGTCTCTGGTATAAGTTTTTTTTTGTTTATAGATTGCACGCGAAATACCTGATCGATTTTGTAGAACTGTTATATATTATTATAATTTGTACGTTTTTGAAATTTAGGTTAAATTATCCCACTATTCAATGACTAAAGAATACAAGGACATGTAACGGCCATATACGGGCTGCAGCAGAATTTGTTACGTTAGACACCATCATATTGAAGCCTACGGATGAGTCACCACCTCTTGAACAGCGACAATTTTAGCGATTTTTAATAATTTGTTGTGTATAGTGAACTTCGTATAAACTTTATTACAATGGTGACGTGTTCAGGCTTTCAAGTGTAAAAGCTGCAATGATAAGAATTAAAGAGCCAGGAGTTACGTTTCATAAGTAAATAAAAAGTCCACTCCACCTTTTTAGCGTTTTCTTATTGAATTTGGTAATTATTTTTCTGATACTATATGTACTTGATATGTGCTAATCGTCGATACTAGTTTTGTACCTTTTGTTGACATTTTAATACGTTTTTTTCGTAATTAATTAATATGATACCACCGCCTACACCATAGGCTTAGTCAAAACATTTATCAAAAATATAAATATCCCTTCAAGCAGATAAGTTAAGAAAAATATATGTTCACGGAATTGTTTGGAGCCATGGTAACAATTTGGTCTTGGGTTATATGTCCTTGTATTCTTTAGTTATTGCTACTATTACTTAAGAACTTACTCTCGAAAATTACAAGTTTATAATAAAAGACAAGAAAATAACCCACGATTTAAATTTGGCGGGAACTGTGGGATGAAGTTGGAGAGTTGCACGGTACGGCTAGACGCAAGTAGTAATGCCTAGTTAGAACCCCTGTACAAAAAAGCAGCTGTGTCCATTGGTAACGATTGGTAACGAGGGCGTTTCAGGACCGGGTTCGAGTTCAACAATTATAGATTTTTTTTATTTATTTTTTACAGATGTTTGTATTTTTTTACAGCTATCGGTAATAGTAATCAAAACACGTGTTGGTTAATCTCTGAGATTATTATTTTTTGTTTAATACCCGACCCAAAACCAAGAATACGCCTGCGCAAAAGCTTTCCGGCATGTTTTGTTGGGGTGTACATAGACGCTTGTCACATTAAAGCCTTAAATAACACCAATTAAATGCATTTAAACTTAATACTGGTTTAGTTGGGGCGTTTCCTAAGCGGACGCCGGCGGGGATACTTGAGTGCTCTCTTCAATCAGCTTCATAGCTACAAGTTCAAATACTTGTAACACCACGTCCTGGTTAATCTTTTTCTTTTGCAACGAGGAAATAAATAGCTTGATAGTATTATGTAGAACATGTTTGCGAAACACGTACTTAATCAAATCTGTAACAAAATAATTACTTTTATCGTTAAATTAGCTGGCCCGCCTATCTTCGTACTCTCTGAGAGCGAAGTAAAATGAAGAGATTTATTTTATCAATTTTGTGCTATGGATGACTGACTGATCGAATACTCTGGAATGATTGAGATCTATCGATTTGACAGTTGTCCTTTGTTCACTATATTTTTGTTTACATTTCGATTCAAGTATTTATATACCATCCCATATAGCACGTCCAAATGAAATTACGTTTCTATAAGGGAGACACATGAGAAACAACAGAATTATGTTAAAGTGAACCTAAGTGTTCATCTAGTTCTAACATAACAAGAGGTTAGCTGAGTTAGCTCAGCAATATAATTTTTTTTAATTTGGAAATAATGAAAATCTAAATGGACCAGAGAAAGAAAGATTTAAACACTTCAAAGAACTTCTTACACTAATATTCGGTAAGTTATTGATGGATCGATATACAGATATGTTTAATATTCAATAATCAGTTTCATGTAAAATTTAAGGGTGAGATTGTTAATCTGGAAATAAAATACAACAAAGTCCAACAGAGTGCTCGATGAATGAGTATGCTAATAAACCAACTGCTTGGAAGGAAAAGAGGAGAAAAAAAATGACTAAACGAGGTCCACCAAATCGTGGCGATATACCAGTGTTTACCATTTTAGTATGTTGTTATACTAGGTACTTATATTTTTGATACAAATTCTGCTCTTTTACAGTGTTTTCTTCTGGTTTCTGCAGTGTAAATAATTATTATTATTGTGTTATTTGCGCTATTGTGCGTTCCATGATATAAAGAAATATAAGAATTTTATTTTTAACCACTTAATCCATTTTATGGAAGAAAAATGGTACATTTAATACAAAACAAAAATGGAACAATTTTAAGGCTACTTCTCTTGAACTTACGATCGAGATACTTTTGGAAAAAACAAAGTTTTGCATTCCTAACTTTCGTTCTAAAAAGATATAATTGGTATCATTGAATAAATATTTCTTAAAAAGAACGAAAAGTTAGGCATCAAAACTTGTATTATTTCCTAAATTCGTTCCTAAGAAGTAGTTTTATCTAGCACAAGATGTATATACGAAGCAAAATACATACGTATACACGCGGTAGTCACAACTGCAATGTGTAAACATAGTTTAAACGTAATACACAAGCACTGTGTATCCCACGGCACACTGTGCATCCCTTACTTTGTGTATACGTAAATGCTATACTGTGGCTACATTGTGAGGCGGACGTTTAACCTTTGTGCATACGTGTTGAACTACAATGTGTAAACGTTGCATATTTACATCGGGGGAATTGTGTCACCCTGTGTCTACATCTAATAATGTAAACACATCGTAAATGTGATTTGATGTGCTGCATGGGATATATTTCAATTTGTCTCTAGATTTGAATTTGCTATTTCTCCACTATTTTCCATATAGGCTTGATGCATTTCAGTTGATTTTTTTTTGAAACACAACTGTCAAGGATCCCCACCCTAGAGTCTTTCCGTCGACAATGCATGAATACACGGAAAGCATATCCTCTTTAATCTTTATATTCAAAGTTAATAGTCTAAGAGCTAGAAACGTTTTCGCGAAAGTATTTTAAGACGTCTGGCTCTTTGATATATCTTTTACTATGCTCTCTGGAACAACACGCAGCCCGTCTGGCTGCCGATACCCGTTGCGTTCACTACTGCGCATCGGAAGATCCTATATATATTTTTTAATTTAGTCTTATAAATTCTAGTATTGAATATAAATCGAACATGTCTCCCCATAGCGCAGTGCGTAGAATTTACGACTACGAATAGAAGATTCAGAGTTCGAATCCGGGTCAGGGCAAAGACTTTTTTATTTTATTTTCGTTTATATTCTGATAGTAAAGTATTAAATAATTCTGGTGATTAAAAATAAACAAATATTTGATTTGGTTTGGGTATGTACTATCAGAATATAAACGAAAATAAAATAAAAAAGTCTTTGCCCTGACCCGGATTCGAACTCTAAATCTTCGGTTCCTAGTCGGAAATTCTACGCACTACGCTGTGGAGACATGTTCGATTTATATTCAATACTAGAATTTATATGACTAATAAAAATATAGGATCTTCTTCCGATGCGCAGTAGTGAATGCAACGGGTATCGGCAGCTAGAGGGGCCGCAAGTTGTTTCAGAGAGCATAGTAAAAGATATATCAAAGAGTCAGACGTCTTAAAATACTTGTTTTTCCGACGTTGCTAGCTCTCGTACTATAATAAATTAAGACAAAAAATAAAGATTATTTCATGCCATACCTGGAATGCCACTTTTCATAGCCTCGATATAATCGTCTAAATCCATTAGCAATACGTTTGTATTTGAGGTCTCCGGTATTGTGACTAGATGTTCGGCAAAATGCGCCAAGGATTCGTGTATCTGATTTTCGATTTTGCACTCCACATAACTGCCGCAAGTCAAAAGTATTCCTTTAATTACGGGTTCCTGTATCAATGGAGAATTACTATCAGCCAAGAGTTCGCAGAATATGTCCAAGAGTACTTTAGTTACTGGTATTTTTCCTTCGAAGTCGTCTAATTCGTCTAGAAATAGGGAGACCACCGATTTAGAATGACCAGGTTGGTATACAGACAAAGACACATTAATGATATACAGGGTTATTCACCACATACGACACGGAGTATTGTAGCTAAACGATTAGAATTTTGCAAATTGTAAGTTTTGGGTTCGTTGAAGGGCTATTAGAGCTACAATTTAAAAATATTTTTACAAGACACTGAGTGTCCCAAATAAATAAACAATATCAAAGTTGTATTTTTTTAAACTGAACACCCTGTATATTATTATATTTTAGTTTCTATGATTAAAATAAAGGTAAATTTGATTAAGATTTACCGCATTTTAATCTTACCGTTTTTGAAATATTTAGGTTTTTGTGAAAATACAGTATAAATTTTAATGCTTCATTTCCCTAGGCGTATTTAAATTTTTAAAACCAAATATTGTACACTAAATTTTGTGTTGCGATAATAAAAATTATACTACCTTTTACAGAGTGCCTAAAATATTATTTTAAATAATTACTAGCTTTAAACGGCAATAACTTGTTTAATTTAAATGGAACACCCTGTATATTTTATGAAAATCGGATGCACAATTTAATTGTCTACCAAATTGTATTATACCTTTTTACCTACCTCTTCAAGTTTTCGTAGAAAATGCGTTTTCTTATAATTTAGACCTCATTTATCAATATACCCATGGAATATTGACATTTAGAATTATTTTTAAAGATGTAACAAATTTTTAAAGAGTACAGATACTAATATCACCGTTTAAAAATATAATATTGTCGATTGTCGATATAGTTCGTTTATTTCATTAAAAATTTAAAAAAACTGTTTAAATATTTGTTAAAGAGGACCAATTAATATGATTCCAGTATTCAAACATTAATTGACTGTGCGTAGATTAATAATAATTGCTCCAAATAAATAACTGCTCCTCTAAAAAACTGAATTTTGTATGTGCATTAGACAGTGTGGTAAAAAGTAACACCTTAAAAACTTTATTTCATTTTTTGACGAAGGCTTATTAGTAACAACAGGGATGTTCATTTTCATAACTTATTATTATGTTGATTTCTAATTCAAATCCACACTTGTTTAGAATAATTTATTAACTAACACAATTAAGTATGTAATTAATTAGTATATTAAATAATAGTGGTATATTTAATTAATGGTATACTATTTTATAATGATTTAAATAGTTTTCTTTTTGTATACAAATGGGCTAGTAATATTTTGTTTTTAGCACCAGTACATTTTGTACATTTGTTGCTTTAAAAACAATCTGTCAGTAAAATGTCAGTATTCCATGGGTATATTGATAAATGAGATCTAAATTATAAGAAAATTAATTTTCTACGAAAACTTGAAGGGATAGGTAAAAAATTGCATAATACAGTTTGATAGACAATTAAATTGTGCATCTGATTCTCCTAAATATACAGGGTGTTCCATTTAAATTAAACAAGTTATTGCCGTTTAGAGCTAGAAATTATTTTAAATAAATTTTTAGACACTCTGTATGAGGTACTATTATTTTTATCATTGCAACACAATAACTGATCAATTAATAAACTTCGGTAAATATTTAGTATTAAAAACTTTGATACCCTTGGAAAAAAGAAGCTTTAAAATTTTTACTGCAATTTCACAAAATTGAAAATATTTCAAAAACGGTAAGGTTTAAGTGTGATAAACCTTAATCAAATTTACCTTTATTTTCGTAGAAACTAAAAATGTAATAATATACAGGATGTTCGATTTAAAAAAATACAACTTTGATATTTTGTATTTATTTGGGACACTCAGTATCTTGTAAAAAGATTTTTAAATTGTAGCTCTAATAGTTCTTCAACGAACCCAAAACTTACAATTTGTAAAAATCTAATCGTTTAGCTACAATACTCCGTGTCGTATGTGGTGAACAACCCTGTATAATGTGCATAAACATTTTTTAACTGTTTTTATAAAACGAAGTCATTAAATATATAATTTAAGATTTGATACGAGTATAAGACTATTTATAAAGATAATATAAATCAAAAAGCATGATAATATTTGAACATATGCTATAACTGTTTTAAGAGTTTACTGACTTTACCTTCAAATGTAACATTGGATATTAACACTGGCGATTGTTGAAATATATCCACCGAATCTAAAGCATCATATCCAGTATCAATTTCTTTATCCAAAATGCAGTACTCCTTACGTTCACTAAGAAGTTTCTTCATTCGGATTAAGGTTTCCGATTCCTGCACAAAAAAATGCAGTAAAAAAATGGCATGTCATAATGTTGGAGACATAATCTTCATTCAGAACCTCGAAATCAGTGGAATAAATTAGTATATATATTGTTTCAATTAGTCGTAGAAGTTTGTTCACCTAATTTTAATGTAAGCATTCAGAACGTCATAATTAGTAGTAGTAATTTTCAATTAGTGGAAAAAGTTAACAAACTTTTGACTTTTCCACTTATTATACTTCAAAATTGGCGAGGAATGTCATTTTGGCCTGTGATTATCACCCGTCAAGAAAATTTTTGGTTAGAAATCAAAAGTTTATTGTTTTATAAATTTAATTAGTAGTAATTCATTTTTTGACATAAAAGATTCGTTCCACTAGAAAACTTTGTCTCTTGTTTTTGTGTTAGTGTTGATTCTAGTAAGCAATAACAATGTTCGTTTACTTTTTGGACGTTGTTTAATTTTTAATTTACAGAAATAGTAAAATATACCTGAGACTCTGTTTTAAATTTCCATCTCTCAACGGTATAAACCTGTCCTGGATTATTTCCCGGCAGAGCTGTTTTTATGGTGTTTAGCGTGTTGGATAAAACACCAGAGGCTGTCTTAGCACAGAACTTGTAAAAGTTGGGCATCATTCCGTCCACTTCCATAGCTTCTACATCGGAAACATTTTCCGATTCGACCTGTTTCTGAATGTAATCTTCGGGCCTATTAGAGTAAGTAAAACTTTGAAGGAATATTGACACAGATTAGGTATCCTATAAGTATACAGATAAAAATCTTGTCCCTAATTCGTGGTACGAAAATTGTTTTTTATGACGATGTGTAAACGAGTAAAATTTCCTGTGCGCAAAAATAAACTCGCGTAAAATAACAATAAACAACGTAATAGAGAGATATCGCTGAACCGAATAGCGTGCATGGACGTTAATAAGGCCAGGTGTTATTTCCTTTACATCAGGTAGTATTAACTCTCTTCATTTATAGTTATCGGATCGGAAATAATTCTGTTCGCGTCGCGTCCGCTATTTAAACTTAACCTAACTTTGAATTTAAAACTTTGAAATTGTTTTGTTTACTAGGTATTTTAAAACTAAAGGGCTAAAGTGCTTATTTCCAGTGCTTTATTGTTCAACGTCTGCCAGTGGGTTTAGGGCAACAAGCAACAAATTCTCTTAAAAGGGCTAAGTTGTCATCTGCTGTAAACCTAAGCCTCTTTATAGGTTCTTTAATATTGGAAGAGGTGGAATCCATATTTTGGGCCATATTTATTTAATTAAAACTAATCCCAGCTACTTAAATATCAAATTACCTAATAAAACTAATGTAATAATTCAAAACAATTCAAACATAACCTAAAATAAAAAATCTCGCCGGCCGGCCCCGGTTGTCAAATACACGCACATGCCCATTTAATCAATTTTTAAACGTTATTTAGAAATAGCGCTTGGTGTAATTGATCCGCAAATTACGTCAGGCGGTAACGTTATTAGCGGGTGTTGCGTTAAAAATTGATTCGCGCATATCGTAACCATGATAAGGTACGCGTAAATACTGCATGACGCTATTCGGTTTTCCGATATCTTTCTAATAACTGTGCCGGTCAGGCGCTGTGCACAATTTTAGAGGCCAAAAGTGGGCGTGCTATGTGCGCACACTAGTAACCTAACTAGTGCCCGATTCCGAAAATTGGAACCACGAAAAACAATAAAGAAAAAACAAAGTTTATAATCTGTATAATCTGTGATATTGATAACAAACTTCCTTTTTATTTTTATTTAATCCAGACGCCAAATTAACTATAACAATGTACATTCATAATTATTTTTGAATATAATCTTCCAAACTAGAGTAATCGTCAAAAAAAGTTGTCATCTAACTCTTTCTGCCAGGCACTCTTGGTGATAAAGAAACCAACCTGAAGGTTTATGATGACTAACAAAAATATACAAAACAGTTTAAAAAAAAAATGGAATACAGTATCTACGGTAATCGCAAAACATTTTCCAATGCACGTCATCAATCATACCAAGATTGACACTAAAGCCTATAAACCTGACTAAATGAAATTTTGGCAAAAATGTTTAAATTTGTTCTTCCTTTTACTTCATAGAGCAAATGATTTAAAGCTGCAAAAATTATAGTCTAAGAGCTAGCAACGTTTTCGAGAAAGTATTTTAAGACGTCTGGACTCTTTGGAACAGCATGCGGCCCGTCTGGCTGCTGATACCCGTTGCGTTCACTACTGCGCATCGGAAGAAGATCCTATATTTTTTATTAATTTAGTCCTATCAATTCTAGTATTGAATATAAATCGAACATGTCTCCATAGCGCAGTGCATAGAGTTTCCAACCACCAACCGACCACAAACCGATGATTCAGAGTTCGAATCCGGGTCAGGACAAAGACTTTTTTATTTAATTTTTGTTTATATTCTGATAGTAAAGTATTAAATAAATCTGGTGATTAAAAAAAACGAATATTTAATACTTTACTATCAGAATATAAACGAAAATAAAGTAAAAAAGTCTTTGTCCTGACCCGGATTCGAACTATGAATCATTGGTTCGTGGTCGGAAACTCTACGCACTGCGCTATGCAGACATGTTCCATTTATATTAAATACTAGAATTTAAAGGACTAATAAAAATATAGGATCTTCTTTCAATGCGCAGTAGGGAACGCAACGTTTACCGGAAGCCAGACGGGCCGCATGCTGTTCTAGAGAGCATAGTAAAGGATATATCAAAGAACCAGACGTCTTAAAACTTGTTTTTCCGACGTTGGTAGCTCTCGTCGTTTAAAGCGATTTTTATTATCGCCATGTTGGTCATATTGCGGAGCGATCAGCAACGTTGTCGTTTATAACTTGACAATTATTATCAAAATGTCAGTCATTAGTTTGTATAATATCGTGTTGTTGAATCTTTGGAAGTAATTCTCGTTTTTGCCGATTTGCATAGTCTTTTTATAAAAATTGTACTTTTAAGCACGAACACTTGTTTTAAGATCTAAATTGGCGAGTTTTTGTATTGCATTTCTTGAAATTGTGTGTCGAAAATATGCCGAAGCATTTAAACAGTCGAAGCAAAGAGCTTGTAGCTTTCCTGATAAACGATTTTGAACGAGAACGTGACAATAACGGTCCTTTATAAGTCTTGACTGCAGTCAGAGAAGTAAGTTTGATTGGTAAGCACATTATACCACTTTCCTTTATCTCTTTCTACTTATTTCGATAAGTAGCGAGTAGCTACTGCCTTAAATTTATATTGCTACTGTGAGTGTTAATTACTTTTAATAAATTAATTAATTACTAAAATATTAATTATTAAATTAAAAATAAAACGTAAAAATATTTAAGAAATAATATAATAAATATATGGTTCCACAATTTTACATTAAGAGATTCATCTCATAAATCCATCACAATCAGGCAGTGCTGTGGCTATCGCTTGTCACCTTCCCCTAGGAGATACAAGACCTTGTCGTTGGTGGGGAAGCTCCTGGTCAGGTGCTGGGGGGAATCCCCTCTAGCACTTGGCTTGGTCTGAGAAGCATCTCACTCATCGTCTTGTCTCTGACTGTAGTGTCGTGGCCAGGGAATTGCACCAAGACATATAACGATACCGGGCGGGGCTACGGACAGCTTCAACCTTGGGGCACCGGGGGGCCACCCCATTGTATTTTACCCCTTACTTCTACATGCGGGGCTCTGTAGAAGTGGACCGACTGTCCCTAGCGACTCATAGGAACACTATGAGATCGGGTAATAATAGTAATAAAAACATCACCGGTGAAGCTGTGGGGAAACCCCCTAGCGACACTGGGAACAGTAACAATGAAAGTTCCAAGGAGCCAAACCCAAAGAGAACTACAGGGGAGGTGGCTGACACTTGCGTGAGACCATCCTCCGCAAGTGGCATACAAGCTACCACCTCCTCCAAGGGTCGGGAGCCTACCTCCTACCTCTAAACCCAACAGGCGACACAAGCTACCGTTTCGTCTACCCGGCCTGGGTCGTAGCTCCTCGACTGTGAGGGACACGGGTCTCCGTAGGAAGTCCTGAGACTGTATGATGAGTTATAACTCAAGAAAGTGGGACACAATAGATCTCTCAGGTCGCAGAGATTAACCCCCCTCCCACTTATTCTAATTCTAAATTCTAATCGCTTGTCACTCAAATATCACGTGCATCGAAAATTGTTTTGCGATTACTTTAGTAACTATAGTGTGTCCAACAAGTCAAGACAGATTTCGACAGCCGACAAAGAAAAACAGAAAATACAATTTACCTATGAATTAGAATGACACTCGTTGGACACATTATAGTAATATAATCTAATGATTATTCTGAAAGATTGCATATTGTGTATGTGTTGTAATAACACATCAGATAATTTTTTTATCACAAATTAAAGGGATAATAAATTGTATTAAATTATAACTAAATTAATTACTAATTAGGTATTTTTACCATTTTATAACTTCTAATTACAAACCCATCAGAAAGCTTGCAAAAATATACATACATGGGACTTAAAGCTGGTGTAGATAAATTAGATTCCGACGATCTCTGTTGCAACAAGGACCGTAATTTGGCAATGCTGGAAGCCAAATCTGCCGTATCCTCGTATTCTGGATCTGGACTGTCCGAGTCGGCTGGTTGTTCCGTGGAAATAGAAGGTATAGAAACACTATCACCCGAAGGAGTTTTATCCGGACCGTGTGTTACAGTCTTTCCAGATTTTTCCTGAAAAAAAATTAAAAATGTTAAACACAAAAAAAATTAAAAACTACGAAAGCGTAGAGCTGCCATCCCAACAATGAAATATAATTTTAGCAAAATTTACACTTTTTCTGTAAATTTACAGATTTTCTGTAAATTTACACTTTTTCTGTATGTGTTAAATTTACACTTTTTCTGTAAATTTACACATTTTCTGTAAATTTACAGATTTTCTGTAAATTTACACTTTTTCTGTAAATTTACACTTTTTCTGTAAATTTACAGATTTTCTGTAAATTTACACTTTTTCTGTAAATTTACACTTTTTCTGTAAATTTACACTTTTTCTGTAAATTGCATGCGAAATTTACTACCCAGCAGAATGACGTCTCGGCATCGACCTGCTCGTTACTCACGTTACAAGTGAGCATTGTTCTCCGCTGATTACGTTGCTATTGTGCCTAAGTAGTCCAGATATTCATCAGAGATTATGGACGAATACATTAAAACCTACTTTCATATCGGATTAAGTCCCAAAGAAATTTTGACATGTCTGCTAGAGGATGGTTATGCCCTAAGTTTACATCATTTGCAGACGACAGTTTACGTCATGCCAGAGGTGGAGGCCATCAGATCCTCTTGCAAACAGTGCATGCATCGGAAAGGGTGAAAATACTTTCTGGGTCGATTAAAAGCATATTAGAAAACATATTAAACAAAAAAATGCCATACTATTATATCACACACATTCAAAATTTAATACATAATCCCTAAAATAAGAGATCACCCGATTTTCTGTACTATGTTAGACCCAGGTTCAGTATAGACGATGAGGAATAATTCTTCAAGTATTTTTGAAGAGAGTGTGGTTTCAGAACAAAATATATCTTTGAATATACTGGGATATTGCTTAATCTTTTCATATAGTCCGCATGTCTTCAATCCTTCAATTAATTGCCGCAGTGGTTCCCTAATTCTGTCTTTACTAGTAAAGACTTTTGTGAATAAACTGGCGTAGAACAGAATTCGATGGGAACTACTCGTAGAATAACGCACCACTGTTGCCACTAACGCATAAATTAACAGAAAAAGTGTAAATTTACAGAAAAAGTGTAAATTTACAGAAAATCTGTAAATTTACAGGAAAAGTGTAAATTTACAGAAAATCTGTAAATTTACAGAAAATCTGTAAATTTACAGAAAAAGTGTAAATTTTGCTAAAAATATTTTTCAATGTTGCGATGGCAGCTCTACGCTTTCGTAAAAAACATTCATTTCTAAAAAATCAGGGTATATCAAAGAGCCTCATCTTTTTTTGACGTTTCGTGCACTATGAAAACCCATCAATGGCGAAAAAATCGTCCAATAAGTTTGATTTTCATGCAACCGTTATCCGTTGACACGATGGTCTAACGGCTCTGATTGGTCATAGCGTTTTCGCGCCACTTTTCATCCCTATTTTTTTTATATGAATTATATTTATATTATATTATTACGAAATTGGAGCCGCTGTCGATGGCTCCAATTTCGTTCAGTTCGCGCATACCACCTGTGACGTCACTAGGAAAATAATGAATAAATAAAAATTAAAGAAAGTTGACAGGAGATCTGCATTTTTTTGTATTTTCTAGGGTTATGGTTAAGAATTGTTTATTTTTTCTGACTTTTTAGTTAGTTTAATTTAATAATTACCTTCTTATTCAAAGATAATTACTAAAACCAGCAGTTCCAAAAATATGTTTAAAAATAAAAGATAAAAATCCAAAATATTAATTAGTTTTAACATGGATTTGGACGATAATAGGTAAGAATACTAAATTTATTTCTATATTCGGTATAAAATTGTTTATTAGGTTTTTAGTTTGCGATGTTTATAGGGACAGAGACGAGGATATCTATGGAAAAGTAACCACAAGAGGAATTGTTACATCATTTAAAAAAAAGTTGATTGTTTCCCATCGAAAAGTAGAAAATGCCAATGCAGATGAGTGTATTGTAATTGTAATAGAAGTAATTCCAAGGGTGAAATTTATTATAATTAGTGGAAGTAATTCCAAGGGTGAAGTTTATTATAATTAGTGACCTGTGCTTCTTTTTATATGTAGATGTTTCAGGTTTTGACAATAAATCGGTTGAACGAAACCCAAAATTTAGAGGAGGTACTTGCATACCCAGAATATGCCCATCAAGGATTATAGCTCAAATTTCCTTTAATGGTAGGCAATTATTCAATACAAATTAACTTTTTAAGTGACTGAAATATTAAATAGTTTACAATATGGTATATCACTGTAAAAATATATTACTTTTAGGTACAATTAGGGCCCGATACATTTCAAAAAGTAGAATATTATTTTATATTAAATGAGGTATTGTACCAACAATCAATTTATATTAATACCGGAGATTAACAAATAACAGAATAAATAGTTATTTTTTTTTAATTCAAAAATAAACTAGAATACAACAGTATTAAAAAAATCAAATAAAAAAGTTATGCCCCGGCCGAGATTCGAACTCCGGTCTCTCGCTTCCTAGCCTGACTCTTCACGCACTGCTCCACAGTAACTTGCCTAGCGATAGTTCAATGACGGTATATAAACAAAAAAACAGGTTCATTACCATATCTTGACGATTTGAATTGGCGCGCGGAGCGTGCTGACCAATAACGCCTGTTATCACCTGTGACGTAGCGACCAACCTGCGCAATATCATATCTTGTATTCTTTGTACCATGCGATAACAGACGTTTTGACACTTTTTTGGCAAATTTAATATAACCTTAATAAAAATATAATAGTGCAAGAGCTAACAACGTCGGGAAAACGAGGATTTTAAAAAAGTTATGGTTCTTTAATATATCTTTTGCTATGCTCTCCCGACTAAAGTACGGGCCGTCTGGCTGCCGGTAGACTACTGCGATTCACTACTGCGCATCATATCTGTGCAGGGTATCCCATTTTTGTGTGTTTTATGAGATATCTCGTTTATGAGTAGAGATACAATGCTGCGATTTCTTATTGCTACTTTTTATGAACCTAAATATTCTATTTACACATAATATGTTTGTCCTAGCTTCCTTAGTTCCTGAAATACAGGGCGAATTTGTGATGCGCAGAAGTGAACAGATGTTGAATACAAATATAATGCGCAGTAGTGAACGCAACGTCTACCGGCAGCCAGATGGTCCACACTCTGTTCGGGAGAGGATAACAAAAGATATAATAAAGAACCAGCTTTCTTAAAATCCTCTCTTGATAACGTTGCTAGCTCTTAGACTATATAAAAAGAGCGATATCGTTATGGAAGTGGCGTTTTTTACAAGAGACATAAAATGTAGTAAATACTAGAAGGACCATTTACCGAAAAAAAATCAGTCGCCGTTTGTTATCGATACCTCCCTAATTTAAATATAAAAGTTGGCAACCCCGGAAGTGGCAACAATGTAAAAAACAGGAAACAGGTTATTAAAAAAGAGAGTCGCTCACCGGCTTCCGAAGACGTCACGGTCACGAAAAAGAAAAGGTGGAATTTTCGAGATGTCCAATGTAAGCGTAATGGTTTTATTTCCTAGGTAAGACCCTTTTTATTCCCTATAAAATTCAAACAAGTAGATTATCGATCTCGATCGGTAGAGCTAGCCGGTAATAGGTATTAATCAATACTAATAATAAAAAACTGAGACCGATAACACGTTACAGTTAGAAAATGTTTCTACTAGAATTTATGTAGTGGCGGGGGTAGTTTTCACCCTTCCCGTACCTTTTTGTCATTTTTTATGAAAGTCAAATGTTAAAGCGCCTAGAAAATCATAAGCAACCCAAATCTCCTTGAAATAGGAATAACTGCTCTTAAAATATCTTAAAAAATGTGTTTATTTTTTTAAAGTTTGATTGCCCCCTAATGAACAAACGAAGCAATGTTGTATAGAAGTAAATTATGTCCACTGAACTTATTTTCGTTCCAAAAATACGTAGTACTTCTATGTCCACGGACTATTGGAACACCCTGTACAGATTCAGAAATCAAAATTATTGCACAAATGGCTGGATTCTTCTAAATATCAGATCTTGACAGCAAAAAGTACAAAAATTAATTACCAGAAAAAAGTAAGAGTTAGATACATAGTATAGTTACATACATACCTAATATGTTAAATACCTAACTGTATATATTTTATTAATACACGGATAAGAATATAATGGATAAAACTTAAACATTATATTTTTTTATAAAAGGGCCTTTAGTGACGTAGGCATCTACGTTAGAAGAGCGATAATTTAATGTGATCGAACTGGATAGAACGTCTTTGGATAGAACTGCGGCCAGCAATTTCTTCAAGAAGAGCTTTATTCAGTCAACATAACCCTGTTTTTCGCTGTCAAGAAACGAAAATGAACAATTTAAAAGATTTTGAAAATTTATGTAAATTTCTTAATTCTGTGAGGGAAGCCGATAAACCAAACAACAAAACTTCGATTATAAAAGATTATTTTGACCAATGGAGGGAATGTCAGCCAAAAGAAGCTATGTTCTCATTGCTAAGATTAATAGTACCAAAACTAGATCGAGCAAGAGAATCTTACGGTTTGAAAGAGGCAAAAATTGCAAGAATTTTAATAAAAATGTTAGCATTACCTACCGGACATGATAGGAACGTTCTTAGCAAATCATATTTAATGTCCGGCCAGGCCAGTGACTTTGGTGATGTAGTTTACTCAGTAATTCGCAAATATTTGGCAAATAAAAAAACAGTACTGACAATTGACGAACTTAATCTGAGTCTCGACAGTATAGCGAATAGAAATAATGAATCTGAAGCCGAGGATGTTTTAATAAAGTTATTTAAAAAATGTGCTTGCGAAGACTCGAGGTGGATAATTCGTATTATTTTGAAAGATCTAAAGTTGGGTATTTCTGAAACTAGAATACTAAACTGTTATCACCATGATGCAGCACAGTTTTATTCAAGTAATCACAGTTTGGAGAAGGTCACACATGTTTTATATGACAAGAATATAAACATTTGTGAATTAGATATAGCCATATTTGAGGCTTTTAGACCGATGTTATCTAAAAGAGTCAATCATTCATCTTTTAAGAAAGATTTTCAGGAAAACAAGCTGTATTATGTTGAAAATAAATTTGATGGTGAAAGGTTTCAGATTCACATGGACAATAAGATTTTTAAATATTTCTCAAGAAATGGATATGATTATACTGATACTTTTGGACCATCTTATGAAAGTGGTAGGTTTATAAATCCGATAAGAAAAATAATATTTATATATTGCAAAACATTTTGCAATATTTCACTTTATAGAAAATATAAAAAATATCGAGTTACAAGAATTTTGTATCTAGATGTTTTCATTGTCCTCTGACAGCATTTAATTAAAAAAAACAATTTGTATTGTCAAGATATACACTTTTTGGATTCTTAGACATAAAAATAAGGCATTTATTATAAGGATTTAATATGTTTAAAAGCTTTGGTTTTTGAGATATTTAAATATGCATGCTATAATAAAAAAGTTTTTCAACACCTTGTACCGGGTGTCCCACTAAAAATAGCTCTCGGCTGTATCTCGAAAAGTATTAGTCGTAGAGCTTGCGGAAAAAAAGATTTATAACTAATGAAACCATGAGAAATTGCTGGAAATTATTTTCAAGTTTGTATAGCGGCCGCTAGAGGGCGCAACTACTATTAAAAATAAGAAAAAGGAGGTTTTACACAATTTTGCCAAGATAATGGATACTATAAATAATAGATTCATAATCTTCAGTAAATTTTGCATATTTTTTGTTAGAACTATTTTCCCCTATCTGCGAAAATAAAGTGGTGGGGGAAGGTTAGATTTGTTTTTATTTAAACATTAATAACTCCGGACTGGATGAACGGAATCTAACAAACGGGGGCTCGTTTAAAAGAGCGTTTCTTACTCTATATTATAGCGTATAAACAGTAATAATAAGCTTTTGAATTGCCTGAATATATCTTTAAATATCTCAAAAATCAAAGCATTTAAACATATTAAAGCCTTATAATAAATGCCTTATTTTATGCCCAAGAAGCCAAAAATAAAATAAAATTCCGGGTGGTGTGTTCCATAAGAAAAAATATAACTTTGGTATGGATCTTAGCTCTGACACACTGTACATTTGAAAATAATATTTCTACTCTTTCTTCTAGCATTCTCTATTAACATTTCAAAGTGTAATCTACTATAAAACCGATTTTAGGTATTCTGACGCCTAAATTTAAAAACCTTTTTAAAGAATCCACAAATAACATTATACTAGATGGAGAAATGATGTTGTGGAATACAATAACAAAAAAATATGGTTCAAAAGGCATGGAATTTGACGTAAAGAGACTCAAAGAAAGTGGCAAACTTCAGCCATGTTATTGCGTATACGACATTATACTTCTGAATAACAGAGTCCTTACTGGGAAACCTTTGAGGGAACGAGTTGCGCTTCTAAGGCAAATTTTTACAAAAACTATTCCCGGAATTGTTGTTTTGAGCGAAATAACAGAAGTTCATAGCTGCCAAGAAATTGTCGATGAACTAAACAGTGCTGTAGCAAGAGAAGATGAGGGAATAGTGGTAAAAGATCCAGAATCGTTTTATAAGTATGGCGATAGAAACAGTGGATGGTTTAAAATAAAACTGGAGTATTTTCAGGTAAAATAATTTTAGTATCACAATATAAAGATCTTAGATTTTTCTACCGTGGGAGTTCCCCAAATTTTATTTAGTGTACCAGTGTTGCCAAGTATAACAAGTTCTAATCTGGTTAAATTATCATTAATATACAGGGTGGCGCACCTCATTCGCCTCGGTTGATTATACGAAAACAGAAAGATGTAGAAACAAAATATTTTATGGGTATATGTGGGGAGGCAATGTGGGGCACAATTTAAAATTATTTTGAAACATACAGAGTGTATCAGAACTAAGATCCATCCAAAGTTATATTTTTTCTTATGGAACACCCGGAATTTTTTTCATTTTTGGATTCTTGGGTCCAAAAAAGGCACTTATTATAAGGGTTAAACATGTTTAAAATCTTTGGTTTTTGAGATATTTAAAGATAAGTAGTGAATAATAGGGACATACTCCTCATTTGAAATGAGAATATGTATAGTTTAATGAGGAGTATGTCCCTATTAAGCACTAAAAGGACCCAATAGCGTAAGGGAGCGTTCACTCAATACGGACGGATAAATTCGATATTATCGATGGTGGGGGGAGGAAGGAGAGACAGACAGAGACAGAGACAGACAGATAGACAGAGACAGACAGACAGATAGAGACAGAGAGAGAGAGAGAAAGAGAGAGAGAGAGACAGACAGATAGACAGAGAGAGAGAGAGAGAGAGAGAAAGACAGACAGACAGACAGACAGACAGACAGAGAGAGAGAGAGAGAGAGAGAGAGAGAGAGAGAGAGAGAGAGAGAGAGAGAGAGATTTATGCTTACCCCCACTCACCTTTGTTCTCACTTTATTATTACGAAATTTTACTATATGACTAGACACTAATATAGTGAGAACAAAGGTGAGTGGGGGTAAGCATAAATCTCTCTCTCTCTCTCTGTCTATCTCTGTCTGTGTCTCTGTCTGTCTCTGTCTGTCTGTCTCTCTCTGTCTATCTGTCTGTCTCTCTCTCTCTCTCTCTCTGTCTCTATCTGTCTGTCTGTCTCTGTCTGTCTCTCCTTCCTCCCCCCACCATCGATAATATCGAATTTTTCGTCCATATTGAGTGAACGCTATTGGGTCCTTTTAGTGCTTAATAGGGACATACTCCTCATTAAACTATACATATTCTCATTTCAAATGAGGAGTATGTCCCTATTATTCACTACTAAGATATTTAAATATGCACGCTACAAAAGAATTGATTATTAACACCCTGTACATTACTTTTCAGAATTCATTCTTGTGCTGAGTTGAAAGGTAAAGAAATAAACTTTACTGAAAAATGTCATTGCTTCCTTAAATTTATACAGGGGTACCAAAAATTGGTGGTCTATTTTAAGGATATATTTTATATAAAAACTTTGTTATTTCAGATGCAACACCCTGTATTTTTTTAAATAAATCGAAGCAGATTCAAATGCCCTTTCAAACTATATTAGGGTTTCCTAAGTATACCTATCTATCTCGGATTTTGAATAAAAGCCGATTTTTAAATAAAATGACAATCAAGATGGCTGGTATCGCCATGGCAATTTTCTAGTGACAGTAACTATCTTCAAAATCGACATTAGTTTATGGACATTGTTATTTAAACAGTTTACTCAAATTTACCCACAATAGTTTAATAAGTATTCTTTATTTTATGAAGAAAAATAAAGTCGTATATGCTGGCGGAACGAATGAATATGTTACTAGTGATTTTATTTTGTGAGGAAAATTATTTCTTAGCCTCAAGAGCTTACGCTCAAAGATATCCAAATAGGAATCTTCCTGATAAGTGTTCCTTTGAAAAACAACTTGTCCTATTTCCTATTTCGCAGAGTAGGTAGTGTAGTTTATAAAAAAACCTATTAGACAGAAACCTGTCGTTGAAAGTGAAGAAATTGAATTTGCCGTAATTGGCTCTTTTGTAGAAAATCCATATATCTACAAATTATCGTAAAATAAAACAAAAAACTACTTCTTCGTTTTTCTTGATAGAATAATAAATACATATTAATAAATACCTATTATTTACTAAACTATCGTAGGTAAATTAAATAAAAGTAAACTGTTATAAATTTAAATAAAGTCTATAAACTAATTTCGATTTTGAAACTAGTTACTGTCACTAGAAAATTGCCATGGCGATACCAGCCATCTTGATTGCCATTTTATTTAAAAATCGCTTTTTATTCAAAATCTGAGAGAGATAGGTATATGAAACCCTAATATAGTTTGAAAGAGCATTTGAATCTGCTTCGATTTATTTAAAAAAATACAGGGTGTTGCATTTGAAATAACAAAGTTTTTATGTAAAATAAATCCTTAAAATAGATCACCAATTTTTGGTACCCCTGTATAAATTTAAGGAAGCAATGACATTTTTCAGTAAAGTTTATTTATTTACCTTTAAACTCAGCACAAGAATTAATTCTGAAAAGTAATGTACAGGATGTTAATAATCAATTCTTTTGTAGCGTGCATATTTAAATATCTTTAAATACCTCAAAAACCAAAGATTTTAAACATGTTTAACCCTTACAATAAATGCCTTTTTTTGGGCCCAAGAATCCAAAAATGAAATAAAATACCGGGTGTTCCATAAGAAAAAATATAACTTTGGTATGGATCTTAGTTCTGATACACCCTGTATGTTTCAAAATAATTTTAAATTGTGCACATTGCCTTCCCATATATACCCATAAAATATTTTGTTTCTACATCTTTCCGTTTTCGTATAATCAACCGAGGCGAATGATGTGCGCCACCCTGTATATTAATCAAGTGTTGAAAAACGACGTATTTTATTTAAAAAAAAAGAAAACCTCGTGATTTTAATTGTTTATAACACTGCTGCGTTAAAATCCACAAAATACAAATCTAACCTCGAACGCCTCGAACATCCGAACAACTTTGGTAGTGTTTAGTGGTTCGATAAAAATGGCAGTAACCTGTTAATTATAAAAATTTAAGTTTTAATTGCTAGTAGTAAAAAATATAAAAGTAAATTTAATATTGGGGTAATAAAGAATAATCCCACATAAAAACGTATTTTTTAACGATCTTAATAAAAATAGAAGAATCTAACGTGATATTAAGATATATGGTGTAAATATGGTAGCAGAGAACTAGACACGCCATAATATTATTCTTCAGAGGCTCGCGCCCTCTGTCAACTATTCAGTCAAATGCTGATAGGGGATGTCACAATTTTCTACGCGTCATTTCAAACCAGTGAAATTTGTATCAAATTTGATTTATTATTTATTCCTTAATTGTAACTTTGTTGCATTTCTTTTTGTAATGAGGGAGTACTTTTTAATCACTTCGATTGAATTTTATATTAAAAATAACAAAAATTTACTATGTGGGGTTAAACACCAGATTACTTAGTAACCAAGTACTATTAAGATATTTAAAGCACATTTATTTTAGGATACCATGACTGACCTTGATTTAATATTAATGGGCGCTCAGTACGCATCCTCGACTTCGGACGAACTAAACTCATTTGTTGTCGGGATCAGATCTGGCAACACTGAAAATGGGGATCCGATTTATTTGTCGTTTGGTAAAGTAGCAATCGGTTTAAATTACGACCAACTGGACATGTTGAACAAAAGAATCAAAGAGTTAGGCCGACAATACAAAAACGACAAAAAACCATACTTGCTCTTTGGCAAAGAAATACCGAATTACTATATCGAACCAAAAGATTCATTAATCTTCGTTGTGCGCGCCACAGAATTGATTAAAAACACCGATAATTCTTACAGAACGCAATACACGTTTAGGTTTCCGAGAATCGTAAGAATAAGGGAAGATAAACCTGTCTCTGAGTGTTTAAACATCAACGAATTGATGGAGTTAACACAGAGAAATAATAGTGTTATAAAACTAAACAAAAGCAGACTAGAACTGGATGAATTGATAAAAGTAAAGAGAAGAAATACTAAAAAGAAAGAAATATTTGTTCCAGTTATCGGCGACACTAGGCAAGTTTCTGATATACTGGAAGACTTAAAAATTTATGTACTTAATGGAAACGAGGAAAAATCTAAAGATGATCTAGAAATACTCGTTTCGAGAGCGGGAGGGACTATTTGTTATAAAATTGACGCGACTGTTGACATAGTCCTTGTTGGTACAATCAACGATAAGGTAAAAGAACTTTTCACAAAAAGAAACAATTATGATGTTATCAATGTAAAATGGCTGTATAGAACTCTCGCTGACGGGAATGTGTTAGGCTACGAAACATTAGAAATATATTGTCTAGGGACAAATCCGAAAAACTGTCTGTCAGATGAAGTAGACAGGTATGGCGATAGTTATACTGAAGAAGCTACTATCGAAACGTTGAAACACAGTTTTGACGTTATGGGTAATCTACAGGAAGTTCCTAGTTTTGGGGGGTTAATTGAAGTACCTGGATCAAAAACTTTTGATATGTATAAAGCTTATTTTGATAAATTTACAGAAATAAACAATGTGTCGTCTGACATTATTTATGATTCGTTTTTTGACGAGTTAGAGTTCAAGTATTATAATGGGGACGTTTGTCAAACAGTCGGTAATGAAACAAATATAATAGTATTTTACGAAAATGAAAGAATAGCAGTTATAAACAATTTTCTTAGCAGTATTGATAGGTTAGATATAGAAGTAAAAAGTCGAGAATTTATATATAATAAATGAGTAACCAATAATAATAAACAAATAAGTAATTCTAATGTTATTATTAGTACCAAAATGTCACCAAATAATTATATTGAAAATAAAATAATTTTAAATTTAACTAGAATAGATTAAAGTTAACTAAAACTTATCTTTTGCAAAACAGTATTAGAATTCTTATAGAATTTCTTATACATTATAGGTATTAAATACTATAGGTAATATATTTTTAATGTATACATTTTAGGAAGTCGCATTATATTAAATGATAATGATATATCATCTCCAAATTATAAATTTTTCTACATTTTTTTATAAAAAAAACCGTAATTTATTTACATAAATATATTGTGCTAATTTAGACATATATATTTTTTTGTTATTGTATCAATATACCGTTTTTAAGAAAATTTTTATTTTGTATCTATTCTATTTCTAAAATAAAAATGTTTATTATTTTATTTATAAATAAAAAATTGTTAAAAATAAAATATTGCTTTTCTTTAAACCTTGAAAAATTGTATATTTCCTTACAATTTACCTCTAATTCGTGTATGACAGCAAAGCGAAATTTTTGTTTATATTATTTAAAGTACCCTTAAAGAATACTTAATACAAAATCCTATACCAAATCTGACTGTGCAATGTTTGAAAAATTGCGTATTTTTTAAACATTGCACAGGCAGATTGGGTATAAAAAATGTGTTTATACTGGTTTATACTCTGTTTTTTTTCTCAGTTAAGATTTCGACAGACGATGACAGAAGAAAAGCAGATGACGGCCATATCAAATGTAATTATTTTACTAAAAAAAGTTTCTAATATTTTTTAAGTTTACTATGGATGGGTTTAAATATAAATCCGTCATGCGTCGTCTCTTGTTGTTTTAAACTAGTTTTATTGGTTTATTTCAAAAATGACAGATCGTATTTCCATTTTATTGGTTTGACGGAACGATGAACGACAAACGGACGCCGATGCGTATGAAGTTCATACGCATCGGCGCATATAAAATCTAAAGGCGAGTTCATACTATGAACTCGCCTTTAGATTTTTGAGGCTTGTCAAAGTCTTCCCAAATTATAGGTTATAATTTTGTGTCAACTTATGTCAAATGCCCTGCGTTTTGGAAGATGATGCATTTTGATTCGTGTTATTACGTGTGTTTTGTGTCTTTGGAAGTCAAGCGGAGGAAAAATCGAGGGAAAATTAACTGTAGATCCATAGCACAGTTTATAGTTAATACTCGTTGCCTAGGCAGAAAGTCTACATCAATAAAGTTATCATCAATAAAGTTTGTATACCATCTCGTCATAGATAAGTGCATCTCGTATATAGTACAGGGATCGTACTAAACATAAAAACTGGAGCAACTGTAAAATATCGACATCACACGATAGGTAAATAATGGATTTTAGTACAGCAGAAAAATAATGTCAAAAGGTACTGGTTTAAAAAAATTAAGATTAAAGTTAATTAATCAACCTTTAAGGTATAATATTTGGTAAGTGTTTTTATTAATAAAATAGTTTGTTTTATTTATGTTGTTTTATCTATTCCTGTGGAATATTACAAATTGGTATTTATACATAAGTTATACTGATAAATATAATAATAAATGCGGGAAGTTTCTTGATGCTTGAAAGTAAGAAATGGTTCTTTTTTATATTTTCTTGGTATGTGGTGTTTTGTTCTTGTTTCTTTTGTATTAATACATACTATTTTTTAAATAAAATAACTCGATTACATTTTTTCAGTTTTATATTTTTTTCAGGAAGTACCTAATCACTTGTCAGTCAAATTTTAAATATATTAATTTCCTGCTATGTGTTCCAGTTGTACCAACATACTTCTTTGTAAAAAAATAAACTACTTTGAAATTAAAAAGACAGACATATCTATCACTGTCAAGGATCTTGTCGTTGGACAGACTATACTAGCTTTTGTCAAGCCCTGAGGCTGTACATTGAGTTGAATAACTCAAGAAAGGGAGGCACAATACATCTATAAGGTCGTGGTAATTACAATCTATCCTCCCATATCCCATATAATCTATTATCTCTAGTATTTTGATAATTTGCTATTCTTTCTATTATCACGTTTCAATTAAAAAATAAATAAAATTCTACTAAATTTAAAGTCTACTGATATGCTGAAATTTGTACTTACTGGTATATCTTCAAGATGAGGCGAATCCAACGGGTTTATCCATACCGATTCCACGCTTTCCGCCGAACTAATTTTCTCCAACGAATCCGAATCAGACTTCCTTAATTCTTCCAGTTTCTTCTTCACCTGATCCCTCATGGATCTTTGTGCGGACTTGGCAATAGGAATACCTGTCAAAGTTGCTTTAGCGTTTTCTATATTATCTTGAAGACCTATATTAATAAAGAGAGATGTTAATAAAAATAATTAACAGATAGATCGTTAATTACCCCTCCCAATAACAATTTAATAATGCATTTTATCTGATATTAAATTTTCTTTGTACCTGTTAAGCGTAGGCCTTTTCTGAACCCAGCTCTACCAAAATCAAGAATGCCTTCAACCATGCCTGCTGCTTCATCCTAAAAGTTATACCGATGTATGTACAGTGTTAAGCAGGTTGCGTTGAATGTGTCAATAAAAATATTGATTTTGTGTTTCCAATTGAATTACAACATTTTTGAACATGATTTTTTTACATGAATTTACACAATTTCCGACTCCCCAAGCAGCATTTGGACGTCGGGACAACGTTGTGTCACGCGACCAAACGTCGGGGCGCAACGTCGGCACAACCTCGTGCCAACCCTAGTCTGCACTAGTTTGGAGAATAATTTTTGGGTCGAAACGACGTTGGATACCGACGCTGGCTAGAAGCCTAATTTAATACAAACTGCAACGTTGTTTAAAATCCTAATTCACAGAAATACAAAACTAATATGGCGTCTAAGTCGCGTTTTATCCTAAATTGGGATAATTATAGTAAAAATATTATTTTTATGATTTAGTTAGAGACATATGTCAGATGGTAGTGAAGGAAAACAAAACAAAAGTATTTAAGTGTGGAGGATGTTTGAAGATCATAATTATTGAAACACTTTAACCGACTCTGTAACTCGTTACCCAAGGCAAAAAAGTTAAACGCAAATAACTTTATTGATAAATGTATTGTTTCTACTTTGAAAAATACTAATGGGCATTAAAATTAAAGAAGTTTTAAAAATTTTCTTCAATTTTTTTTTTAGAAAAATGAGAATAATTTATTCGCAGTCGAAAAAATTGTTTCCGCGTGTTTTTTAGGGTCAAATATTTCAAGTTAATGTATTCAAAAAGCAGGAATTGCTATTGTAGGAACGAAACATTTTCTTATTTAACAACATGGCGGCTTTCACTTTGTTGTTTTGGAGATTAAGATGGAGTAGTTCGAGTAGTCGCATACTGGACTAATAAAGTCACAGTTCGGCCTTAACAGGTAGTATACTACTCGCAAGATTGCCTAATTTAGTCATCCTAGAGTCTAGCTTGTGTCGCCCTCTATAATCTAAATAAACGAGGGAGTGGATAAACTATCGGTAATATATGTCGATGTATATTTAAATTTAGTTTTATATGTACCTTTCTTATGTCCCATTTTAATTAAGTTTTTTTTATAAAAACAAAAACAGCACTGAACTGTCTGACTGAACAGAACAATGAAGTGAAAATTTAAGATTTAAGGTTATGGTTCAATACAGTTGCAAAAGGTAGTGACTCGACGTCCTACCAATGTAAGAATAAGGAAATCTAAACAACGTTGGAATTAGTAAAACAGACGACGTTTGCATAACGTTGGAATAGGTCCTGAAACTGACGTCGGAAAACTCTATATTGTCCAACGTTGTAACTACGTTGTCCGAATCACCTAAAGATCACTTAAGCAAAAAAGGTTACAAGACAACGTTTATTCGACGTCGCAGAAGCTTCTACTTTGCTGTAGTACTAGTCCAACGTCGGCACAACGTTATAAAGACGTTTAAATTTATTTTAATACCCAAGGTAGGGAGCTAACTATTTTTTGTAACTAATCCAACGTTGTGTTTAGTAAACATGTGGTCGCAAGTCGTGAAAATGCTACTTGGGTAAAAATTGTATCAATCAATAATAAATACGTAAAAAAAATTCTTACTTAAAAGATAATGTTTAGCGAAAGTACTTTTTTATTTATAAACATTTATTTAATTCTGTTTTTAGTATTTGTTCTTATAGCGGCAACATAGATACATTATCTGTGAAAATGTCAACTGTCTAGCTATAACGGTTCATAAGATAGACCCAGATAGACCTTTGTGACAGACGGACTGACGGACAGCGAAGTCTTAGTAATAGGGTTCCCGTTTTTACCCTTTGGGTACGGAACCCTAAAAAGTAATTGAAATGCGCTGCTCATTCTTGCCTCTTATGAGGCTGATTGAGATCGGATATGTCCTGAGTAAAAGAGTAAAAATTGATTTAACAACTTGCTATGCAAATAGACACATCCGGGTTGGTCAGTAAAAAGGAATTTTCTTCTATATAGAAGTTGTTTATTGACCAAAAAATGGAGTCGGTTGCCTATCAAAATAATTGGTTGTAAATCAAAATGACTCTTTTTGTCATTTTTGAATGTGATCTGCTTAAATTCTTTTGCTGGACTACTGTCTTTGTCCAGCAGAAGAATTTAAGCAGACATATCCAGTAGACGCGTTTAATGTAAATTTAAAATTATTTTTAGGCATGATATTTCATTTATACAGGGTCCGGCAATAGTGCGTCGGGCATCTGTAGCTCCTAGTATAAAAAACTTGGGAAAAATTTTGTTTAAGTGTAAACCTAAAGTATGTACAAGGATGTATTTCAGGAAAATATTTTAACTTCTATAGGGTGGTTCAAAAAAGTGTGAGTGGATCGGGATGATTTTTTTTTAAATGGAATACCCTGTATATTATTGCATTTTTGGATTCCTTTCAGATCAGTTTACGTAACCCTAAGACATGATTAAATATATTTCGATAGTTTCGGAGATATTAATAAATATATTAAAAAATTATATTTTTCTACCTTCATTAAAAAAATACTACCAATACAAGAACTGTCCTGAAATCAAAACTATATTAGGTATTTACTTTAGATGGTCTATACTTAACTTTGCTATAAATATCGTAATCTTAAATCATACAGGATGTTCAAAATTCTACGCCAAACTTTCTAAAATATAAAATAATTTTGCTTTGTTTTTTTTTTTAAATGGAACAACCTGTATATTATTTTTTTATTAGATGGAGAATTAAAAAATGAACATTTTTTGTATTTCAAAAGTTTTTAATGGTTTTGCAGATACACGCAATATTATTTCATATGACTCTCTCAATGGTAAAATATTAGAGAAAAATCCTTGGGTGGCTTTGATAAAAATTTACTATGGAAAATGCCATATGAAATATAAAACCGCATATATCTGCCAAACCGTTAAAAATTTTGAAATACTCTAAATACAAAAAATGTTCCACTTTTTAATGCTCCATCTATTGAAAAAATAACATACAGGGTGTTCCATTTAAAAAAACGAAGAAAAATTATTTTATATATTAGAAAGTTTGGCGTAAAATTTTGAACATCCCGTATGTTATACGATTATCATATTTATAGCAAAGTAAGTACAGACCATGTAAAGTAAATATCTGATATAGTTTTGATTTCAGGACAGTTCTTGTATTATTAATATTTTTTTAAGAAAGGCTGAAAAATATATATTTTTTATTTATTTATTAATATCTCTGAAACTATCGAAATGTATTTACTCATATCTTAGGATTATGTAAAGTGATCTGAAAAGAAGCCAAAAATGCAATAATATACAGAGTGTTCCATTTAAAAAAAATCATCCAGATCCACGCACACTTTTCTGAGCCACCCTATAGAAGTTAAAATATTTTCCTGGAATACATCCTAGAACAGTGATTCCCAAAGTGGTCCAGGTGGACCCCCAGGGGTCCACAGGAGACTTGCTGGGGGTCTACGTAGGCGAACAAAAGATGGGGGTCCATAAGATGTTAATGGGGGTCCACGAAAATTTATCTGCTTTTGATAGTAAAGAGCAAAAATGTAAGCATAGTTTTTATAAGGGCCTACCTACATTGTTTTAAGTACCTATCTAAGCAGATAATATTTTAATAAGGCAAGCGACTGTTACTTGTCCAAACTTGCGTATTCGATATTACGTACAATTTCGTGTACAGACTTGCAAAGCGCTATCCGCCCGACAATGCTTAATGCTTGTTCAGACATGAACTTGATCACCACTATAAATACTTGATGCCAAAGGCAAACGCATTCATTTGTTTCCGGAATTTCGAAAAAAGGCGGAATTTGGAAAAAAGTTGTGAGAAAATTTATATCTGTGTTTGCTAGTGCCGGAGAAAAGTAAGTAACCTACCTTTTTTTGTTATAGTACTTAAGTATTTTGTTTACGTGTACTAGTTGGTTGATCACAACGGCCTGTATAGATAGGTAACTTAGTAACTTACAGATATTTTAATTGTCCTCTTTCGATTTGAAGACAAACACAGCACGTTTTATTCAATTGTTTTTCACGAGAGAAACACTGCCTCTCTAAAAAGGCCGAATAAGCAATATTGCAGAGCAATTAATTTTGTAATTTTTCTTGCAAATAACTACTAATTTTATAAAACAGTAATTTCATAATCATTTTAAATTGGTTTTGAAGTAACTATTTTATCAAAACTATTCCTTTTCGGAAAGAGCGAGCGGTGCGCGGGCGACGGGAAAAGGGCGGGCTTGACTTCGATGCCAGTTTGTCACGTTTTCACAATGAAGCCGCAGACAAAAATACGCAAATACACGGAGCGCGTGAACTCATTGATTTAATAAAATGTTAGTTATCGTTTTTATGGACAATTTTGGGATTTCGACTTTATTTTTTCCTACACAAATATGATCAGTATTCGATACTGAGTACACCAATTTTTATTTATACTATTAAAAATTAGTGGTAAATTATGTACTTTAAAATTGATACCGTTTTGTGAAAACGTCTGTATTTGTCTCAGCGGTTTATTAGTTGGTCCCTTTACAAGCCGTAATTCTATTTCCGCGTGCCTACAAAGGCTGCGGTGTGATACCTATATTCAGAAAAAAACTTGGTTACTAAAACATTTTTTTTACAGGTAAGGTAACTGACACGAAACATGGCTACAGCAAAGAAAAAATGTCGACAATATAGTATCGATTATTTGAAATATGTTTTTGTTCCATCAGAGGCAGACAAACAATTGCCCATGTGCCTATTATGCAACAAAGTTTTGAGCAATGACTCTATGAAACCATCAAAGCTCGAAGATCATCTAAAAAGGTGTCATACTGATAAAATAGGTAAAGATTTAAAATATTTTCAAACATTGAAAGAAAAATATGGAAAGAGACCCACCATGCACAGTATGTTCGCTTCAACATCTCAAAGTAACGATGATGGCTTGCGGGCATCTTACAATATCTCATTACTTATAGCAAAATCTGGAAAACCGCACACTATCGGAGAACAATTAAT